TCCAAATACAGTTACATTCAGAGAAGACCAGACATGTGGCTTTGGTGGGGGGGTTGCCTCACAGCAGAGGGCAGGGGTGTGTGTGGAACTTCTGGAGTGGTGAGGTCAGAGGCTGCCCCATCTATGGGCCATAGAGGCATTTGGCAGGTGGGAGTCACAGAACCCGCCAACTGTGGCCTGTCAGGCAGATTCCTTAAGCAGGGAGAGATGTTCTCTGTGTTGAACAGTGAGGAACTGGATGCATGGTGGGGTAAGAAGAGAAGTCAAGGGTGGTGGCCATACCCTGGAAGCCAGGCTAGGGGACCTGGATATTTCTTGAGGAGAAGGAGCTAGATGGAAGGCTGCTGAGTCAGGCATTGTGTTTCAAGGATGCTACCAGTGGTAGATTCTGGATCCAGGGAGGGTTCGTTAGACGCTGCCTGGAGAAGGGCTGAGGTCTGGGTGAGTTATGACCAGCATTAGTCATTTTGCCTAACTTCTGCTTCATCTCTTGGCATCTCACTGGCACCCATTCAATGTCTGAGCACACGGCCTGGGTTCCTAGAAGGTTCTGAGCACCTATGCCCCTCTCCAGCCCTCCCCTGCCCTCCCCAGCCCTCTCCTGCCCTCCTCAGCCCTTCCCTACCCTCCCCAGTCCTCCTCTGGCCTCCCCAGCACCCCAGCCCTCCCCAGATCTCCTCTGTCTTCCCCAGCCCTCCCCTGCCCTCTTCAGCCCTCCCTAGCCCTCTTCAATCCTCCCCTGCTTTCCCCTGCCCTGCCCTCCCCAGCCCTCCCCTGCCCTGCCTTGCCCTCCCCAGCCCTCCCCAGCCTATGCCTTCATAGAAACACACAGTGGCTTGTATTTAGCTTCTGTTATGTGTGTGCATTTGTGTTTGCCCAGGAGTGAGTCCTCCTTACTTATCACATTGTGTGTGTGTGTGTGTGTGTGTGTGTGTGTGTGTGTGTGTGTGTGTGTGTGTGTGAAGGTACACATAAACCATACATGCATGTGGAGGTCAGAGGGTAACTTGTGGGAGTCAGTTCTCTCCTTCTACCATGCGGGTTCCAGGACTGAACTCAGGCTTCGTGGCAAGAACGTTTATCCTGAGCCATCTCGCCAGCTCTTCAACTTACTTTCCCAACACAGAGTCTCCCACTGGGACCTGGGCTTGTGGGTTAGGCTGGGCCTAGGCTGGGCCGGCTGACCTGCTAACCCTAGGGTTCCTCCTGTCCTGTTCCCTTCCCACGGTGCTGGAATTAAAAGCGTACCCAGCCTTTTCCGTGGGTACTGAGGGCTGAACTTGGCCTTTGTGCTCCCATAGCAAGTGTTTTACTGACCCAGTCGTCTCTCTGGTCACTTATTTTTTTGGAGGTGGCAATGACCACACCAAGGGCCATACACACAAAAGGCAGGCGCCGTCCCACTGACAGGCCAGCCCAGGCTCTATCCTTTCTGTGCTTGGTTGAAATATGGCGTTCAAGCCAGGCATGGTATGATTTACCCCTGCCATCCCAACACTCCAGAAGCTGAGGCAGGAGGAGTGCTGTAAGCTTGAGACCAGCCTGGGCTAAAAAACTCTTGCTTCAAAACAAACAAAAACAAGGGAGGGACTGAGGGTGTGGCTCAGTTGGCAGAGAGCTTTTCTAGCACGCAGAGTCCCGGGTTCCATTCTCAGCACCATGTAAGCAGAGTGTGGTGGCGCACAGTGCAATCGCAATCCTTCAGAGGTGGAAGCAGGAGGATCAAGTTCAAGATCATCATTAGCTACATAGATCATTTAAGGCCAGTCTGGGCTATGTGAGGTCCTGTCTCGAAACAAAACAAAACAAGACAAACTGGGCACGGTGGGGGCCGCACGCCTTTAATCCCAGCACTCTCTGGGAGGCAGAGGCAGGTGGATCTCTGTGAGTTCAAGGACAGCCTGGTCTGCAGAGGGAATTCAAGGACAGCCAGGGCTGCACAGAGAAACCCTGTTTTTTTTTTTTTTTTGTTTTTGTTTTTAAAGAGCATAGTTAAGTGATCAGATTTTAAGTGACAAGCATGGTGAGTTCTGAACCTATGAAGACCCTGCTGCCTCCCTCACATCTTTCCTGATAAATGCTCCTCACAGATGCTCACCCACCTGTGTGACTTTGATAGCCTGAGCTCCTAGGACAGTGGTTCTCAACCTGTGGGTCTAGACCCTTATGGGGAGTCGAATGACCCTTTGGAAGGAGTCACATACCAGATATCCTGCATATCAGATATTTACATAGTGATTCACAACAGCAGCGAAATTACAGTATGAAGTGACAACGAAGTAATTTTATGACTGGGGGTCAGCACAACATGGGGAACTGTGTTAAAGGGTCGCAGCATTAGGAAGGCAGAGGACCACTGCCCTAGAAGGCCTAAGCAGTTTGTTTTATGTTTTTGTGACTTTTTTTTTGTTTTTGTTTTGCTTTTGGTTTTTTTTTTTTTTTTTTTTTTTTGAGACAGAGTTTCTCTGTGTAACAGCCCTGGCTGTCCTGGAACCAGCTCTGTAGCCCAGGCTGGCCTTTGAACTCACAGAGATTCGCCTGCCTCTGCCTCTGGGGTGCTGGGATTAAAGGCGTGCGCCACCACCGCCCAGCTTGTTTTTGTGAGTTTTTTAAAAAATTACTTGGTATTACTGGAGCACGTGCCAAGGTGTGTGTGGAGGTCAGAGGACAACTCTCAGGAGTCAGTTTCCCCCTTTCACAGTGGGTTCCAGGCATTGAACTCAGGTCATCAGGCTGCCGTGGCAAGTCCTTTTTGTACGCTGGGCCATCACATCAGCTCCAGCTTTTGTTTGTTTTGAGATAGGGTCTCTTGTAGCCCAGGCTAGTTGCAAACTTACTATGTAGCTAAAGGTGACCTTGAGTGCCTGATCCTCTCAAGCCCTGGAGTTACCAACCTTTGTCACCACGACCAGACTGGTTTGCTGGATTTTAAGCTCTGGGTATTAGATTCAGAGCTGTATGTTTGCGCCTGTGTTTGGCCACTCTCACTCAGCCTGCAAGACTTGGTGGTGTGTCTGAAGCAGGACTTTGTTCCTTTTCACCGGTGTAGTGTACTTCATTGTATGGACATACCACATTTTGGTTATCTGGTCCGCTGATAGGCTCTTCATTTTTCTCCAATTTGGAGCTGCGATTCCAAGTCTGAACATTGGGGCCTGGGCTTTTGATGGCAAGTTACTCTTTTTCCTTTGTGTGTATGTTTGTGTGTTTTTGCTGGGAATGGATCCCAGGGCCCTGTGCATGCTAGGTGATCGCTCTACCACTGAGACACATGGTCAGAGCTTCCTCTGCTCACCAGGTACCTAGAGGTGGAGGTACTGGGTCACAGGGAGCAGCTATCTCCTCAGCTTTCCCTGGAGTGCTTGTATTATTTATGCTCACACCAGTAACACATGCACAATGCCCAACTCGGCTTTTTTTTTTTTTTTTTTGATAGTTACATATATGTGAGGGGGTCATTAGTATGTGCACATGTTCGAAAGCTTTAGATCCTCTGGAATTGGAGTTACAGGCAATTGTGAGCTACCAGATGTGGGTGCTGGGAACTGAACTCCAGTCCTCTGTAAGGACAGTACTTGCTCTGAGCCTCCAAGCCATCACCTGCCCCCTCAGCCTAGCTTTGAATTAGGACTCTCAAACATGAGTGGGTTTATAATCCTCAATTACAAAATTCCTAGAATCTTACTGTTTTTTCTTTGTGCAGAGTTCCTCTCCACACTTCAGCCTGCCCTCTGTGACCATATGAGGTGTGGAGCACACTGGAGCTGGGTGCCTTATTTGATAGGGATTTCGTGATTTTGCTGGGGCTTTTGGGTAATTGAGGAGGGGTATCGTGAGTTAGGTCTGAGACTATTAAGAGTCACAGTCATACGAAGGACTTGGAGTATGGGCTGAATATCTGAGTATGGGTTGAGGCTCAGGGAACTGAGAACGGGTGGGGCTGAAACCCTGCTCTTGCTGTGGCCCAGGCTCAGGAGGGTAGGAGTCAGGACCCTGATGAGCACAGGCTTTGAACTGTTGAAGATGAGGCCTGAGGACTGTTAGCCCAGAGGTGTCCAGATTAGAAGCAGAGCCCCTGGATTCAGGAACACCAGGGTGTGATCAGGATACCCACTGCTGCTGATGTATTCCAGTTGGCATGAAAACCCCTGGAGTCTCAGCTTCCTCCACGTGAAATGGGGTGTCTTAGTACCAGTGGCCCATGTGTCCTGTCTGGCTCTGTGCTGGGAGGTGGCAGACATGCATCTTTGATGATAGGTATCAGCACTGTGGGGACTTTGGTTCCTCTGGTGCCCGGCTCACCACCTGCTACCTTCCTTGGGTTCTGGAAACTATAGAATGCATGTAGATTTGAGAGAGCATCTGGGAGCTATAAAGTCTAGGATTGCTTTGGAGACCAGGGTCAGGGTAGAGGTGGATGGTGTTGGGGTTGGAGGGGAGTAGGGTGGGGCTGCCAGGCTTGTGACATCATGCAAGACGGAAGGCCAGTGGGAGTTATGTGGGGACCTGGGGACAGGGAAAGTGGTGGGTCAGAGGATGGCTGAATCACACCCTGAGATCTGACAGCTCCCCACTTTGGGGTTCTGGCAACCCCATCATATCTCGCTTGCCCTACTCAGAGTGGAAAACATGTCTCACTCGAAACCCGGTATGGTGGGGCTAGAGCCTCGGCCACCTGCCTGGGAGGAGGCCAGAGGTCGTACTGGCTCCTTTATGGACCTCATCGGCTCCTCCCAGACAGCTGATGCCTTCTTGTGACCATATTCCACCCCGCCCCGGTGCCTCACAGTGGTTGACACCTCCTGTACTACTTTTTGGAGGTGCCCTCTCTTGTCCTTCCAGGGGAAGGCAGAAGCCCAGAACTCTCTGAAAAATACTTCGAAGCGTCAGGGGTAGCAGTGGGGTTGGGAAGGTAGAGAGGGTGGGAGTTGGCAGAAGGACCTCAGAGTCCTCCTGGCCTCCTCTCCTTCCCTCTGTTTTCATTCCTTCTCTGTTTCCAGAAATAAGAATGTCTAAGCCCCTGGAGGCCGAAAAGCAGAGTCTGGACTCCCCATCAGAGCACACAGGTAAGTGGGGATGGGCAGAGGCAGGGAAGTGGGCAGGTGAGAATGGGACAGTGTGTAGCAATGGCTGGCAACATGACCTTTCTTTCCCTTCACAGACACCGAAAGAAATGGACCGGACATTAACCATCAGGTCAGGATGGCTCAGGCACGCTCGAGGGCAGGAAGGGAAGGAGAGAGCAGTGGTTAGTGGGGACAGCTGTCCAGAACTTTTCACGACACCATTCTCATCCCTTTGCCCCAATTCTCTCTTCACAGAACCCCCAGAATAAGGCTTCCTCATTCTCTGTGTCCCCAACTGGCCCTAGCACCAAGGTAAGCACCTGTGAGATCGTTCTGGGAAGGGAGGTGGTATGTGGGATGAAGGATATCTTCAGCATGCCCTCTGTGGACCCAGGTCCTGCAAGAGGACCCGGTGACAAGGTTCCTCCTGCCCCTTCTCACCCTTGGGTTCCCGCCCCAGGCTTGTGACTCACCCAGTCTCCTTCCCCTTCCCTAGGGGGTGGGGGTGGCCAGGGAAATCCCCCCCAGAGCCCCAGGGCGATAACAACAGGAAGCCAAGGCTCCTCCCCCATCCCGACTTCCCTGGCCGAAGGGGCCTGAAGCACCCCTGTACCCCAACACACACACACACAGCAGGGAACGGGATAAGAGAAGTTGGCAGATACAGTGTTGACACCCATGGGATGAAGGAGAGGGTGATAGAGAGGAGGGGGCTCTGTGCTAGGCACTGTGGGGTTTAGGGAGCTTCTGGGGCCCAGGCTCCGTTTAGCCTGATAGTGGTAAGGACCATAGACCAGGTTCAGACGCCTAAAAGGAGAAGCAAGAATGTGGGGGCATGGACAGAGCCCTGACCAGAGGTGGCTGAAGGACTAGGTGAGACTCAGAAGTGCTTCTCACCCAGCCCTGCATCTTTGCTCTGTGACCATGGGAAAGTCACTTCCCCTCTCTGAGCTTCTTAGTTTCCCTTTGCTAACGCTGGGGGAGGGGGGGCAGTCAGACTGGAGACAGGGCGACCTCTGAGGTCCTTTCCCTGTCCGCTCTGTCCCCAATGCTGGGAGGACAAAATACGTTGTGATCAAGTGTCTTTTATACTCTGCACTGGGGCCCAGGGCCTGCGTCAGAAGGGCCCCCCAACTCCTGAGCTGGCCTGAGCCTTAGTGTGCCTCAGCCCAGCAGTGTGTGCCCATCCATCTTTGCCATTCCCTCTGCTCCTAACAGCAGCTTTCTTTGGGAAGCCAGTGAGGGGCAGTGAAGGGTCCTCCCTCTCCTTCTCAGGCCTGGAATTTCTTCCACATTTCACCCCGCTTCTACAGCCCTGGCCTTTTCTCTCCAACTCTCTCCACCTCCTCTGCATTGGAGTTTCCCCAGCCACAACGATCCCTGTGACTCCATCCCCGATGTATCTGTGCACCGCTGTGGATTATTATTTACATAATAATTTTGTTAAGTGGCTCAATTTTAAAAAACATTTTATTATGGAAAATGTGATACAAAAATAGAAGCGTGTAGCGAAAATACCAACCCCCAGGAACCCATCAATCAGTTTCAACAATTACCAACTCATGAACAGCTTCGTTTTTCAACAGCTTGAATAAATGGGTTTTAAATGGAAATTTCATGAATGGAAAACCAGAATCACTTACCATGGAAATAAATACAATGATTATTAAATTCTACCCAGAGTCCCTCATGTGCTGAAGGGTCTAACCCCGGGGCCTCTTCTCTACCAGTTGAAAGGGAAGATTAGCCGGCATTGGTGAGATGCTTAAAATGTCATCACGGTCAATTGTATTGGGGCAAGCATTCAATGCCAGCTCTCTGGAGGCCAACGTAGGCTGCAATAGTAAGTTCCAGGCTAGTCAGAGCAACTTAGCAAGACCCTGTCTCAAAACAAAATAGGCCAGGGATGTGGCTCCATCGGGAGTGCTTGTCTAGCATGCATGATGACCCTGGGTTTGATCCCCAATACTCCATAAACCAGGTGGTGCAGTACATCCCTAAATCCTAGCACCAGGAGGTAGAGACAGGAACATCAGAAGTTCTAGGTCATCCCTGATTATCTAGAGAATTTGAGACCAGCCTGGGCTGCCTGAGACCTGCTTCAAAAACAGAAGCTGAGCATAATTGTGCATGCATTTAATCCCAGCACTTGGGAGGCAGAGGCAGGCAGATCTCTGTGAGATCAAGGCCAGCCTGGTCTACAGAGGGAGTTCCAGGACAGCCTGTCTCAAAAAACCAAAACCAAAAAGTTTTCAGTGTTTTTCAACTTCATATTAAAATACAATATATATTTACATATATATATATATATGTATATATATCTATATAAGTATATCGTTCATAATTTTCCCAGGCTATGCACGCTCCAAGAATACTGTTGAATATAATGATACATGCTTCTAATCTCAGTCCTAAAGAGGCTAAGGCAAGAAAAGTGCCCTGAGTTTGAGGCCAGCCTGGGCTACATAATGTAGCAAAACCTTGGGATTTTGTTTTTTGTTTTTTAAAAAACCAAGTAAGCAATTTAATGGAAGGTGGAGCGAGAAGGCTCAGTGGGTAGAGGTGCTTGCTGCCAATCCTGAATGACCTGAGTTCAATCCCCAGGACCCATGTGGTGGGAGGAGAGAACTAATTTCTGCAAGTTGTCCTCTCACCTACACACGTGTGTTTGGGCATGGGCACACCCATGCCAGATAAAATAAAATAAATAAAATAAAAAATATAAATATTTTTTAAAGTTGATTACGAGACCCTTTAATGTCCTTTCCAGGAAAAGTCCATATCTCCAGCTTATTATTATTTTTATTTTATTTTTTTATTTTTATTTTTTTTCGAGACAGGGTTTCTTCATGCAGTTTTGGTGCCTGTCCTGGATCTCACTCTGTAGACCAGGCTGGCCTCGAACTCACAGAGATCCACTTGCGTCTGCCTCGGAAGTGCTGGGATTAAAGGCGTGTGCCACCGCTGCTTGGCTCATAACTCCAACTTCTCATAGTGTCATTTCCTGCCTCACCCTTTTATGCCTAAAACTTCTGACACTTCTATCCCATGATCTGAGACATCAGGGTCTGTCATTTGGCCTTTCCCAAGCCTCTGTCTGTCTACTTATCTCCCTCTGCCTACCTACCAGATGTCACTCTCCTGTCAACCTGCTGCGTCTGTTTGCATAAGTCAATCTCTCTCTCGATCTGCTTTTGCAAAATGAGATGCTGAGCTGGAAGATGGTCCCTAATGTCTGGTCTGGTCCAGAAAATATCTTATCTATCCATCTGGCCATCACCCAAACAGTCCCAGGCACCCTCAGCCAGCATCCTTTCAACCCACAGTCCCCGCTGTTTGGCTTTTTTGTGGAGAAGAGGAAGAAGTCAAGGATGGCTTGACGCTGGCCTGTTTTATGTATTTACTGCAAGCTATATCTGTGTCATGGTGAGCGAGACAGGGAGAAGCTGGAGCCACCTCCAGCTCATCCACAGGCCAGGATCAGCAGCCCTCTGCTGTCTCAGCTGTGGCTCTGTTTTAGTCTCTGAAGTGAGGGACTGGTAAGAGCAGGGTGGGTCTCCAGCATGCCCTGTCCACTTTTGTCTGAATCCCCCATGGCTATCGTCTGCTTGTCTCCATAATCATATGGGTTTGTGAAGTACTAAGCTGTTTATTTTTTGAGATTAGGGTATCAATATATAGCACAGGCTGGTCCTCAAACTCACAGTCTTCCTGCCTCAGTTTCCCAAGTGCTGGGATTACAAGTACTCACATTATACCCGCTCCAGCTGGTAAGGTTTTATTGTTTTGAGTTTTTTTTCCAGAATTAAAAAAAAAATTATCTTTTTTAAAATTTATTTTTGGGTTTTTCTTTCTTTTTTTTTTTTTTTTTTTTTGGTTTTTCGAGACAGGGTTTCTCTGTGTAGCTCTAGCTGTCCTGGAACTTGCTCTGTAGACCAGGCTGGCCTCAATCTCACAGAGATCTGCCTGCCCCTGCCTCCTGAGTGCTGGGATTAAAGGCGTGCGCCACCACTGCCCGGCTAATTTTTGGGTTTTTCAAAACAGGGTTTCTCTATGCAGCCCTGGCTGTTCTGGAACTCACTCTGTAGACCAGGCTGGCCTTAAACTCAGATCTGCCTGCCTCTGCCTCCCAAGTGCTGGGATTAAAAGTATGTGCCATCACTGTCTGGCATGTATTTGATATTATAATATGATTACATCATTTTTCCCTTCCCTTTCCTTCCTCCAGACCTTCCCATATCCCCCTCCTTAGAATTTTTCAAATTCATGTCTGCTTTTCTCATTAGTTGTTATTACATCTATCTATCTATCTATCTATCTATCTATCTATCTATCTATGTATCATCTATCTATTATCTATCATCTATCTATTATCTATCTATGTATCTATCATCTATCTATCTATGACCTATCTGTCTGTCTGTCTATCTATCTATCTATCTATCTATCTATCTATCTATCTATCATCTATCTATGTATGTATCTATGTATTTATGTATCTATTATCTTTCTGGTTTTTTTTTTTTTTTTTCCGTTTTTCGAGACAGGGTTTCTCTGTGTAGCTTTGCGCCTTTCCTGGGACTCGCTTGGTAGCCCAGGCTGGCCTCGAACTCACAGAGATCCACCTGGCTCTGCCTCCCGAGTGCTGGGATTAAAGGCGTGCGCCACCACCGCCCGGCCTATTATCTTTCTATGTATGTATGTATGTGTCTATCTATGTATCTATCATCTATGTATGTATGTATGTATGTATGTATGTATGTATCTATCTATCTATCTATCTATCCATTCCTAAATACATGTGCAGCAGCCCTGGTTGGCCTGGCACTCACAGCAAGCCCCCTGCCTCTGCCTCCTCCTGAAATGCCTGGATTACAGGTGTGTACCACGATTTCTAGCCTCTAGTAGTGATTTTTTTAAACATGCAAGACCCTTCTTTTCAACAACAAAAAAATTAATTTAATTTTATGTTTGTAAGAGATTTGCATGTGTGTTTTTCTGTGCACCGTGTGCATATATGCATCATTGGTGCCCACAAGGGCCAGAAGAGGGGGCCAGATACCCCAGAACTTGAGTTACCGATCCATGGTTGTGCCGCCATGTGGGTGCTGGGAACCAAATCTTGGTCCCCTGGAAGAGCAGCCAGTGCTCTTAGCCACTGAGCCATTTCTCCAGCCTGCTCAACAAAATTTTATTCCAACGGACAAATAAGAGCTGCAGCCCTAACTCGGTGTGGTGGCACACACCTTTAATCCCAGCACTCAGGAAGCAGAGGTGGGTGGATCTCCATGAGTTCCAGGCCAGCCTGGTCTACACAGTGAGTTCCAAGACAACCAGAGCTACATAATGAGGCCCTGTCTCAAAAAACAGAAAGCAAAAAGCCACAACAACAACAACAAAGGAGTTGTACCCCAAGCTGAAGGAAAGGGGGGCATGTGCGAGTCCTAGAGACCTCCCTACGCTCCTAGCGCCGGCATTTCCCATTTTATAGGTGGGGAAAGTGACTCCTGGGAGGAGGAAGGTGCTTTCCAAAGGTGGCCTCTCCCGTAGGGAAAGGACACTGAGGTCAGAGAAGTGGCCAGAGGCCTCAAGCCGCAGCCTTGCCACTGCTCTAGCCGACTCCCCTGTGCCAGCCCAGGGCTGCCACAGCCACACGCATACCCTCTTTTTGGTTCGCAGGTGGGCATTCTCTCTGGCCTCCACTTAACATTCTGGGGTCCCGGACCCTGCCTCTCTCCTCCCCAGATCAAGGCTGAAGACCTCAGTGGTGACTCAGCCCAGGCAGCACCCCCGCCCCCCCAGCCGGCTCAGCCTCATCTGCCCCAGGCCCAACTCATGTTGACGGGCAGCCAGCTAGCTGGGGTAAGTATTTGGTAGAGGACCTGGCAGAAGGCATGCCCTCCCGTCTGCTGCAGGCCATGCAGGTGACAAGTCTCACCCAGGCCACAGACACTCTCACCCTTGCCTCTTCTCCTCCTCTGTCCTGTAAAGGATGTGTCTCCTAACGGCTTGATTCGAATACTAACCCCTTTCTGCCTTCTCTGCCCCTGCTGCCCTGCTCTCTGCCTACTCGGCCGGCCGCCCACAGCTCACAGCGCTGATGCCTGCTCAGCAGCAGCTTCTCCTTCAGCAAGCCCAGGCCCAGCTGCTGGCTGCTGCTGTGCAGCAGTCCAGTGCCGCCGCCGCCAACGCCGCTGCCGCCGCCGCAGCCGCTGCCTCCTCCACCTCCTCTGCCTCCTCCTCTGTCTCCTCCTCTGCCTCGCAGCCCCCAGCCTCCTCTGGGGGAGGTGACCTGCCACCATCACAGCCTGCCAGCCAGCCCCCAGGGACCCCTCAGCTCACCTTGTCCCAACCCATCCAGCTCACAGCACAGGTAAGGGCAGCCACCAAGCATCCTACTTGCAGTAAGGGACCTGCAGAAGCAGGGTGTGCACAAGGTGGGGATAACTGGTCCACAAGGGCCCTTCTGACACCAACCATGCGTGCGCCAGGTGGTTCTGCACCTGTGGGAAGCCTTGGGAGAGCGTGCCTTCCCATCGTACAGATGATTAAAGCAAGGCTCACAAGGAGTATCCCATATATGGGAGTGATCTTCATGGTGGGTTGAGCTACACGCTTTCTTTGCATCTTCTAAAAGCTCAACTTATAATGAAACCAGGAGTCACCACCCTTATTCCCAGGAATGGTATCTGCGTGTGCATAAAAACGAAAAGGCCGAGCTGGAGAGATGGCTGTTCTTCCAGAGGTCCTGAGTTCAATTCCCAGCACCCACATGGTGCCTCACAACCATCTATAATGAGATCTGGTGCCTTCTTTATGCAGGCAGAACTCTGTATACATAATAAATAAATAAATCTTTAAACAAACAAAACAAAAGGGCTGGGAACAAGAATTAACGCTCCGGAAATAGTGGCTGAGAGTGTAGCCCAGTTGGTAGAATGCTTGCTTGGCATTCACAAAGCCCTCAGTTCAAACTCTAGTACCTCATAAATCTAGTGTGGTGGCACACACCTGTGACCCCAGCCCTCAGGAGGTGAAAACAGACAGACAGGTCATTAATGGCCACACAGTGAGTGTGAGGACAGCCTAGGCTACATGAGACCTGTCAGTCTCAGAAAAAAAATACAAATAAACAAAACCCCTCAGAATTAGTACCCTATTTCTTGGTTCATCCCGTAAGATGATCTTCCATTTAAGAGGTCCATGAACTGAATTTAAAAACATGTTTCAGGTGGGCAGTGGTGGCGCACAACTTTAATCCCAGCACTCAGGAGGCAGAGGCAGGAAGATCTCTGAGTTCAAGGCCAGCCTGGTCTACAGAGTGAGTTCCCAGACAGCCAGGGCGACACAGAGAAATCCTGTCTCAAAACAAAACAAAACAAAACAAAACACCACGTTCCGCTCTCCCAGTGCTGGCGTTGACACATTTACCCAAATCACGAATTAGTGGCTGTGCTTGTTTCCTGAAGTCGCCATTACAAGCTGCCGTCAACCGAATGAGTCAAAACCGAAATGGAACTCCACGTGTTGGAGCATATCTGCAACCCCAGCACTCAGGAGGCTGAGACAGGAGGATCTCTGGGAATCTGAATCGAGCTTGAGCTACTTAACAAAACCCTGTCAAAAAAAGAAAACAACAAACTAAAACCCACCGGCTCACAAAGTCCAGAAATGTATTGTCTCAGCCCCATTGCCAAAGTTAAGATGCTAGCAGAGTTGTGCTCTGTCTGAAGGTTTAGGAAAAACCCTTCCTGTGTATAGCTCCTGGGGGTGCCAACGATCCTTAATGTCCAAGGTGGAGACCAGGTGGGTCACTCCAGATCTGTCTGCGTTGACACATGGACTTCTGTCTCTGTGTATGTCTGTGTTCTGATTGCATGCTCTTATTAGGGCTTCAGTCACTGTGTTAGAGCTTAGTGAGCTTACTTTAACTTTGTCATATCTGCAGAGAGCCTATTTCAAAATAAGGTCATATTTACAGGTACCAAGGCTCGGTACTTTAACCTATCTTTTGGGGGTGGGGCACAATTCAACTCAACAGTAATGGATAGATTGTCCGTACAGTGGTGGCTGGTAGCAGAGGTAGTTCAAAAGTGGTGAGATTTAGCTGGGTGCAGTGGTGTATGCCTTCAGTCCCAGCACCCAGGAGGCATAGGCAGGATCTCTGTGATTTCAAGTCCAGCCTGGTCTATGTAGTGAGTTCTAGGACAGCCAGAGCTACACAGTGAGACCCTGTCATGAGGAAAACAAAGTAGTGAGACTTGATCTCAAAATAAAAAGTGAAAGGAAGGCTGAAGATGTAGTTCAGTGGTGGAGTCCCTGCCTAGAATCCCCCAGTGAGGGGCTGGGGTGTGGTTCAGTGGTAGAGCCCCTGCCTAGAATCCCCCAGTTAGGGGGCTGTGGGCGTGGCTCAGTTGTAGAGCCCCCTGCCTAGAATCCCCCAGTGAGGGGCTGGGGTGTGGTTCAGTGGTAGAGCCCCTGCCTAGAATCCCCCAGTGAGGGGCTGGGGTATGGCTCAGTCGTAGAGCCCCTGCCTAGAGTCCCCCAGTGAGGGGCTGGGGGTGTGGCTCAATGGTAGGGTGCTTGCCTGATATGCATGCAAGAGGATTAGGTTAAATCCCCAGTAAAGGAAAAAAGTCCCATGCAGAGGAGCCCAGTCATATCCTCGGCAGCCTGCTCCTGCCTATCTCACTTCTACAAGCACTTAAGTTCACCACATTCTAAGGTGGTAAAAGTCTTGGGAAATCCTGTAGCAAAGAAACCCTTTTAACTTCCCTCAGGGTATCTTTCACCACTTTTCTCTCACGCCACCTTCCATCTCCCCCCACACTCCTGGGGGAACTGTCTATGAAGGGGAACTGTCCGGCCCTTGTGGGGCTGTCCTTACAGGGACTTTACCCGTTTTACGAGGTCCATCTCATTATGGATGCACCCCCGTCAGGACTCTCCTGAACACTGGGCCTGCCCCTGGGCCTCGTTCAGGGCCTCAGCCAGCACTCTGCTTCACGGGGGGCCTCTTCCTAGCACAGCCCCACTCATACTAGGCTCAGCCCATGGCAATAAATGGGAGTTGCATCTGTCCCAGACACCAGCAATGACCTCTAAAGGGCAGGTGTCATCCCTCAGCCAAGGCAGAATGCTGGAGAGTCACAGCGACAAAATGGCGTGCCTCGGGTCACAGTGTGAGTAGGATTGGCAGAGCTGGCCTGGGAGCTCAGGGCTCTAACCACATGGCCTGCCTGTGGTGGCCTTTGCCTCAGCCATCCTTCATGGGGACATGGTTTCCAGTCCCCTCCCACCAGGGCCACCAGAGACTCCCGCAGCAGGTGCACATCGCTCGCTTGGTGGCACACACAGCGCAGGGTGTTGGGGCTTCTCGCTCAGGCTACTGGCTTTGTCGCCATTCTCCCCTCCATCCCGAGTTACTCTCTTCCATTACCTGGGAAGCTCCTCTTCGTCCATCACACCCAGCTCAGATCCCCCCGCATTCATCCTGGCTTTCCTGGTCCAGGTGTGTCTGAGTGCACCTGGGGAACTGCCTGTCAGCACAGTAGAGGAAAGAGGAGAGGTAGACCGCTCTCCTGGCCATCCCACCGCCTCAGGAGTGAGCCACGGACACTGTCTGAGGTCATGCAGCCCCAGGACCACAGTCAGGCTGATGCTCAGCCACCTGCTGTCCCATCCTGCCCTCATGGCTAGACCCCCTTGCGCGTCTCCCCGCAAGGCCTTTCCTCTTGCTCATTTCCCTCCTAGCCGCCCTCATTCTGGATCTTTCCACTGGATCCCCTCAGCAGGTGCAAAGCTGAATACAAGTCCTAGGAATTCATTCTCATGAGCTGAGTTGCCCTGTGGCCTCATCTGCTCAAGAGTAGCGGCCTGTGCTGCAGCTCCTGTGCTGGGCAGTGCACAGGGACCGGGGCCAGCTCCTCCCACCCTGACTTGCCCATGGACCCACAGCTCTAGACCCGCTCCTGGGGCTTGAGTCTCTTCTCCCTGCTTCCACTCCTTTGCCTGCTCAGCTCTGTCCCTGCAGTCAGGTCACTAACATCCCTGGGCCTCCTGTGTGTAGGACCCTGGCAGAATATAGGGACTTAGGAACGGGCCACAGGCATCTTTGTCTCCCAGGAGACTCGCTGGCTTGTAGTGAAACAGGAATAACTGAAATGTGTTACGTTTGAAAATAAGAAGTCCCAACCAAAGCACTGTTGGGGCTGTGGGTACAGCATAATGGTCGATCACTTGCCTAGACTCCCCCAGGGAGGGGCTGGGGGTGTGGCTCAGTGGTAGAGCCCCTGCCTAGAATCCCCCAGTGAGGGGCTGGGGGTGTGGCTCAGTGGTAGAGCCCCTGCCTAGAATCCCCCAGTGAGGGGCTGGGGGTGTGGCTCAGTGGTAGAGCCCCTGCCTAGAATCCCCCAGGGAGGGGCTGGGGGTGTGGCTCAGTGGTAGAGCCCCTGCCTAGAATCCCCCAGGGAGGGGCTGGGGTGTGGCTCAGTGGTAGAGCCCCTGCCTAGAATCCCCCAGCGAGGGCCTGGGGGTGTGACTCAGTGGTAGAGCCCCTGCCTAGAATCCCCCAGGGAGGGTCTGGGGGTGTGGCTCTGCTGTAGAGTACTTACCTGGTTTGCCTGAGGCCCTGGGTTCAAACCACAAAAACAAGCAACAACAACAATAACAACAACAACAACAAAAAAGATTCATGACCCACCACTTTAAAATGATACAATAATATAAAATAAAAAGGGGAAGTTCCCCTGCTAGTTAAACTGTTTAGCACGATGCTTCCCTGCAGTTTCTCTGCTGTACCTATGAAAGGACAATTATATTATATACAGTTGGATAATTGGCCTGTCCAATGCTTGGTATGGTGCATTCTACTGAGGGAGCTGTGTGGATGTTTATCAGATCAATGAGGGCTGTTTTGTTGTTACAGTTTTTCAATCAAGGGAAGGGAAGGCATCTCTTCAGGGGAGTGTTTCAGAACGCCTGCAGTAGGGCTTGGCATTGACTGAAAACTTAACATTAACCGTGAAAACATCATTTTGTGTTTGTAGGGTGGAAAAGGAATATAGAATGATGCTTAACATCATCTCCTAGGCTGAGAGGGTCTTGTGAATGACAGTGCCCACTGGATCTGGTGGGAAATTTGGATCCAGGAACATGTCTAGTGTGTGAGGGAGTCAGGAAGGCTTTTGGGAGGTGGTGGTAGAAGTTTATTGTAACAAGTCTTTTTCTGTCCCACCATCCAGCTCCCAAATAATGACATGGAGACTTATTAATTATGAAAGCTCAGCCTTAGCTTAGGCTTGTCCCACTAGCTCTTACAACTTAAGTTAAGTCATATTTTTATTAATCTACATTTTACCATGTGGCTTTTTA